AATTACTAAACATTACACTGCCCTTTCCTTTTGGCTTTGAAATGGAAGTCTTTTTGGAAATCATGAATAGGAAAATAATAAATTACTCATCCCAACATAAAATAGGCAGAAAAAAAAATGAACTCATACTGCAAGGATGAGAACTGAATTCTCCTTCAGTTGGTTAGAAAAATGCCACGTTGCTCACCCAACAAAAAATACAGAATGAATCTCTCTGAGTGCCTCATATGAAAAAGATACCATCCTGGGACCTAGGATGCTCAGAAATGGAAGTGACATTAATCTGCATGCAGTGATCACCTCCCTCAAGCTGACGCACAGGCTGTCTGATGGGAGATGAGCAGTCCAGTTGCTGGCACCCAGATGAGCTGCATGGGGAGGAGGCTCAGGCAGAGCGCTGCAGTCCTGCCTTCCCACTCAGGCATTCACGGGCTGCTCCTCTCTCTGCCAGCTTCATCCATCACCTTTCTCCTTTGCCTGGTCATTGGATTAGTAGATAAGAAACCCAAATGCAGGCTGAGTGCTAATCAGTAATGAACTTGTACAAACTACAGTGCACAAGATCAACACTTCAAATTAAATTCATCATTATTTTTTTCTTTCTTTCTTTTTTAATCTGTCTATCTATCTACCTATCTATTTGTTTGTTTATTTGTGTGTGTGTGTGTGTGTGTGTGTGTGTGTGTGTGATACTGGGGATTGAACCAGCACCACACAAACACACACAAATAGGCAAGCACTCTGCCAACTGAGCTGTATCCCCAACCCTTATCATTAGTTTTTGAAAAATATTACATTTATATGGTTCAAATTTCAACTATTCTAAGTAGATATCAATTAAAAACAAAATAAGACTCCCTCCTGTCCCCCAGCCTCTCAGTTCCCCTCTTTCAACATAGCCAATGTTATTAAAATTTCCAAATCTCTTTTCAGAAATACTCCATGCATATTATAGATTTCTAAAGATACTATTTTAAATTATGAAAATAGTTACATTAGTTGAAGTAAAGAGCTAGGAAGAAGAGATCCAAAATGCAAAAGGCTCAAATAAAAATAGAAGTTTCTTCTAGCATGCATGAGGCCTTGTGTTTATCCCTAACACCACAAATAAAAGAAAATAAATGGGAATTTCTTTCTCATTTAACAATCCAGAGTAGGTGTTCCAGGTCATTGGGTGGCTCTGTACTACAAAGTCATTCAGGAATCTAATATTCCTGACAGCTGTGCCATCGTCATCTACCAGGTAGTTCCCATCACTGCCACTCCTGCGGGGGAAGAGCAAGTAGTCAAGGACCTTCTCTTGTGCACTTCACTTCCACTCTTTGTTGACAAAAGCTTAGTCACCTGGCCACAGCAGTTTCAAGGGAAGCTGGGAAATACAGCCATATCCCAGCTATAACTCTGCTGCCACTCTTGTGGGTGTGCCTTGTCATTCTAAGGAGCTGGGTTGCTTAGTCCCTGGCCCCTTCTCTACAGGTCACCCACAATACTTTTCCAGGCTGCTGTCATGTGTCTCTCCCGAATGAAGGCATCTGACCTTCCCTAAATCCTCTAAGCACAGCTAATATCAGATTGCAATGCTTAACTGTAATGTTTACCTCAAAGGAGGATTACCATGCAGAATAACCATGCATAATGGTAGGCCATACTAAATGCCTATCCAGTGGATATTCTGCCCTTTATTGATTTATCTAAAAATACTTTCATAGTGCTATGTTCTGTGTGCTTTATAAACATGAGCTCATTATATTCATGATAACCCTCTGATGTAGGCACTATTATGGTCCAATGTTCATATTGCAAATGAGGAAAACAGAGCCAAGAGAGGTTAAATTGTCCAGGGCCACGGGTAGAAACATGCAATCCTGACTTTTTGTACTCACAGAATCCTGATTTCACTGAGCTCAGTAAATGACTCTTGCTTCCTTTAAAGGCAGAGATAGTCACATGACCCAGTTTAGGCAAGTGACTGTGAGTAGAAGTCAGAGGTCAGGAAGGAACCAAAGAAATCTTTTTTTTTTTTCCTAATCAAATAAGAGAAATACGGGGCTGAGGCTGTGGCTCAGTGGTAGAGTACTCACCTAGAATGCATGAGGCACTGCGTTCGATCCTCAGCACCATGTAAATGTAAAATAAAGATATTATGTCCACCTAAAACTAAAAAATAAATATTATTTAAAAAATAAGAGAAAAACAGTTGTTACACATTGTTTGCCTTTTGACCCTTACCCTTCAGGCCTATAATATGGATATGATGTCGAGAAGATAGACAGCTATTTTGTGATCATGAGAACAAAACTATGAACTAAGAATGACTGAAAGGGAGAGAAAGAGAAAGAGTTAGCCTTAGATTCTTTGTTATGTAAT